ATTACAGTAGTAGCATGTATTTAGCTCTACATCTTAAACCCTGAAGTAAAGGCACCACATGTCAGTACTGAAGCTTACATACATTAGAGATTTTTGCAGTTTTTGTGAAGGAGTAAGCAGGCCTCTACTTGCTACTGAATTTCCATTTTTTATTATACTGCTTACGCAAGCAGTACTCCCAGACCAGTTTTGCTTTCTTCTGAAAAGTAGGACTTGATATTACAGAGTTGTTCCAGAGGCATTTATTATGGAGAGCACCTCCTTGATGATTTTACCTCCCACTTTTTGCTAATCCAGCTGAGAACTCCACTAAGCACACCCATGTAGGTCTCACTCCAGAGGAAGGGACAGCACTCTGTTCTGAAGTAACAGCCTGATTCCTCCTCCCCTACCCTTCTCATTCCCTAATGCATGTTATCTACATGTACAAAAAACTCTTCACTGTCAGGCTGAATGAACCAGATAAGGATTTTTGCTTTGCAGATATCTAGTATTACTGCAGGCTGGATTAGATCACTGCCTACCAAATGTATTTTTAAGCATCTTAGATACTGAGAACTTCTGACATGGTAAAAATTAACCTGAGGTGTATTATTTAAATCCTACACTTAGGATGAAATCACTATTAATCTGAAATTTAGTAATCTTTCCTCATCCCTATTTACTGATGCTTTTACATGAGTTCTAAATGTTGGGCTTTCTAATACAGTTCTTTTTGTAGAAGTGCAGACATTCAGACTGAGCAGAGACCAACGCAGACACCGGTACAGAGTCTTCAAACAAAGCCCATTTCTCTGATGGGAAATACAACCGACACCCAAATATTTAGGTTGTATCATCAGTTAAGTCCTGGAGTTTAAATGACTTGGGGAATTTAAGATTGGACAGAAGCTATAGATATCTAAATATTAAACACTGCCTGCTAGAACAGTAAGAACGTGCATCATTTAAAACATTATACAAACCAGGAACACAGTAATAGTTTCTCAGAACACTTTATTTCACTTGTGTAGCTGTATAAAGTTATAATCACATGCCCAGTAAGAATCACACGCACAGTTGTTGGACATCCCCTCCCCACTCTGGCTCCTGCTACAGTTGTTCCAATCTTGACAGGCAAGGGACATTAAGGACACGCAAGAACTGAAATATGCAAGACCACCGGATCACAGGTTTTAGTTTTAGTTCCAATTACACTTCCATTTTAAATGTTGGTTACTCCCAACACAAAACCCTGTTCCTGTGTGTCAGTGATGACAACTAGATCCATTCAGTAAGCCTCTCCACAACATGTAGGGCACTTTTCAACCCAAATATGAACAAATGTGGTGTCTTCTACACTAAACAGCCGAATCAAGTCATGATATTTAGCCCTACCTTTTGAATACAAGTCCAAAAAAGTCATTTGCAGCTTGAAAACATCCTGAGTGCTTTTACACCCACATGCCTAGCCAAAGCAAACTTCTGAAATCCATTACAGTTCAGCTCAGTCATGCCTATTGCACAACAGATAGTAATTCTTAAGATGACATCTCAGGCTATTCAAAAAAAAGTGGTTTTGTCCATAAGTCTACATCCTTTTATGTTTAAGACCCAGATACTTTTAACTTCTCAGTGCTGCACCAAGATGCATAAAACTTATGCATCAAAGGCATAAATCATGCACAATTTTTTCTTTTTTAGTTGCTTGTGTTTAAAAGCCTTTATGAGTTACTCAGCAGAAAGCAGAAGCCTGCCTACAGGTCCATATATCCGTAAAACTGTGGGACAAAGCTCCCAACCTAGAAACCTCAGAGTTGTCATAACCAATGTCTTCTGCACAGGCTAGCAGAGATTTCTGCTAGTGAGAACTGAAAGAAGCTCACAAGGGGATGAAGGCAAGCTTTTAAGAACAAACCTATGACTACGGAAAGAAAAAGGTTGTAAACTACAATCCCACTGGAAGAGTTCAATCTGGTAAATTTATAATTCACTGCTCCAACAGAAGCTGCAGCTGAACAAGCCCTTTGTTTATTCCCATCCCTTGCTGTATTACTTAAGTTAATTATGATAACCTCTGTGGGAAGGATGAGCAAAATGCTGGTTCTTCATGGATTTGTGAAGAGTTCACAAATAAAAACTATATAGTTTGATTGCATTAAGTGGACCTAAAGAAAGAGTAAAACAGATGAGCTCATTCTCAGCTTGAGTATTGCCCCACCAGTACCTGGGTATCTTTAACTGTAGCTGCTCTCCCTCTTACAGCTCATATGCTCATACCAGAGGTGAATGTACAAGCTCTAGCAATTTGGGATTTAATGTGCACTGTGACTGACAGTCATTTTCCCTGCACAAGCTGGAAGCTACAGTTCAGTCAGAAGAATGATCAACATAAAGCAAAGTGAGCTTCACAAGGAATGTAAACAGTCTGATTCCTAGCACTCCTCCAATTTTACGTGGACCAAGATCACTGCTTCAGTTCACATCATCATTTATCCACTTCCAACTAGAGAGTAGGAGAGAAGAATTCCGTATTCAGCACTACAACTTATGTTTAGCTTCCCTGAAGAATGCTTTCTGCATCCATCATTTCTCCATCCAGTGAAGTACAGGGGAGACTTTAAGGATAAGTGAAATACTGTTCCATCAGCAACAGGCTGAATTTGAAATTGAGTTAAAAGCTATTCTTCTTAAAGCCATATTTAATTAAAATAGATACAAACAGTACGCAGTTTGACTTAAGGTTAGAAAGACTCGATACAGGACCACTGACACACAGCACAATTATAAAAAATCTTTTTATTTAACATCATAGATCAGTGCAATAGATCTGTCATACTACTCCTTTTAAATATAGCAATTTAACTGCTTCCAAGGAAGTGGCTTGGCTACAAGCTGGAAAAAAAGAAAGATTAAGCTGATAAAGGCAAACATGGATTATAATAAAACATTATGAACAGGAGTGAAGGCCTAGCCCTTTCATAAGAAAATTCCCTACCAGCCAACAATAAGCAGCAAGTCGAGATGTTTACAACATAATAAGAAGTTAGAGCTGATAAAACCATACTTCAGATATCCAGCCAGAGCAAACACTACCAGTTCCCACATTCCTTCTGATCTCCCTCCCCATTTCTCCTGCCATGTAGAGACAAATGCAGAAGCAACACCAAGAAGGCTGACTGCATTCCTGTTCCCAGCTACTAATCTCAGTTCCCCATCCGCAGAGCACTGCTTTGGAGCTACTGCTCTCCGGGGGGGGCAGCAGGGGGAATGAGGAAGAGTGAATCCTGAAGAACAATTTGGTCCCAAACGCTGGTGGCAGGGGTCCTCACACAGCTTCCATGCTGGGGGAAAAGTCCCTTAAGCAGAGGTCTCATCCGTCCAGTAAGATCAAATTCTTTAGGAGCAAAAGCAGGTGGCAGCAAAAAATAGAATGTGACTTCAGTACAGCTCCCTTGGGATGTTGCTAGCCCCCCACCCAAAACAGAAGTATTACAGCGCTAATATTGGCAGTGTTGCAAGACGCAGAACTAACCCTCACAGAAACATTCATTTAATATGCAAAGCAGCACACTTATTAGGTATGATATTAGGCTCTCCCATCATTACTGTACAGGCCAAACACAACCAGCAGGACGGGTTACATTTGTGAGCTTCAAGTTGTGAGAACGAGATGCTTCTTCCCTAAGGAGAGCCTGACACCAGAAATGCTTTGATCCCAACTTTCTCACTCAGACTGCTGCACAGTCGCTCTCATGAATTAATCTTGTGTTACTACAATCGCTGCTATTCCATGGATGCTGCTGGGGGAAGGGGAAGATACAGCCTAGCTCTCCCCTATGTGAAACTCCCTTGGCTTGGGGAGCTCTGGGGAGACAGGTGTGCGCTCCCTCTGGCACAGATTAGATATTTCTGGAACTCACTCGCCCTATCATTGTTTTCCCAGGCTCGGTCTCATTACAGAAAGGCCAGGACAGCTCCCACATTCAACCAAAACCCCTTCCCCAGAGGGGCTGGACCTGGCCGTAGCCATCCCCCCGTGCTGCGGTGGCACCGAGCCCCCCGTGCCCGCGTGGAAATGGATGCCTGATTTGACAGCCAGGGGCGGTGCGGAGACAGCAGGGGATGACTTGCCAAGTCCACTTCCTGTGCTCTCATTCATTTAGCGAATTCCTTTAATTCCTGCCTCCGACTGCACGTTCGGCTGGGGGGCTGCCGGCCCCCCCCGGCCCTCCCTCGCCACGGGGACCCGCGGACAGCTCCGGCTGCATCCTCCCCCCCGGGCACTGCGCTTCCCAGCGGCTGCCCCCAGCACGGCCGCGTCCTTTCCAGCCACTTTCCCTCTCCATTTCCCCTCAGCAGGCTGCGGGGAGGCCGAGCGGCTGCTACCCCAGGCGGTTCCTCGCAGCCCCCCCCCTCACCGCCCCCCTTCTCCTCCTCCTCCTCGCAGCCACCCAGGGGGTCCCCGGCACCCCCCGGCCCGGCGGCCGCTGGGGAGCGCAGCGCGGCCCCGAGCTGGATGCGGCCCCCCCCGGGGCTGAGGAGCCCCCCCGAGGCCCTGCTCCCCCCCAGCTCCGTCCCCCAGTGACTCTGCACAAATCGCGGCCGCCCCGCACGCCGCAGCCGGCGCTGAGGGGAGGCGGCAGAGCCCCGCAGCCCCCCCCCGGGGCTCCCCTCAGCACCGCCCGGCCCCTCACAGCGCCCCCCCCCCCCCCCTCACTTCTGAGGGGCAGGGCGGGACCCAGCCGGGTGGGGTGGGGGGGGGAGCCCCCTCCCCGCGCTCACCTGGAAATGCTCCTGGAAGCGAATGGGCAGGATCTGGGCCATGGCTGGGGGCGAGCTCCCCGCCGGGGCAGGGGGTGAGGGGCGCAGGGGGTGAGGGGCGCGGGGGGTGAGGGGCCGGTGGTGGCGGCAGGGCGGGCGGGCGCCGCGGCACCCCTCACAGGGCGGCGGGGAGGGGAGAAGGGAGAGGGAGGAGAGGGGAGGGGGAGGCGGCGCAGGCGCAGTGCCCTGGCGGGGCCGGCAGCCCGGCGGGCTCGCCTCCCTTTTCTGCCTCAGCTCGGGGCCGCTCACCGCGGCCCGGGATCACTCCGCCCCTCACCAGCCTGCCAGGGGCTCCTCGAGTAAATAGTCCCTTCTCGCAGCGCCGCCTCCTCTTTCTCTCTCTCTCGCCCCCTCGACCTGCTCGCCCGCCCAGCCCTCAGCCCACCCCCGCGTCCTCGACGCCTCGCCGCTCTCCGCTACCACCGGGCTCCCGCCGGGTGGCGGAGCCGCTGAGGCAGCTCCTAGGGGAGGGGGCTTCCCCCTCACCCCCCCCCATTCGGCTCTCCGCGGCCAGGTATCCTTCCGCAGCTGCCACACGCAGCCACGTGACGCGCCCCCCCCTCCGCTCCCCACAGCGGGTGGGCGCCGCGGCCGCCTCACGCTCCCCTCACGCTCCCTTCACACTCCCCTCACGGACCCCCCCCGGCCCCTTTTTTCCACCCCTCAGCCGCACGGAGCCCCTCCGAGGGGGGGTTTCCCAGGCTAGCGGCCCCCAAAGCTGCCCCGCGGTCTCTGGGGGTGCCGGCGGTGGGTCCCCGGGGGCGAGGATGCTCGCAGGTGGGTTGGCAAAGGCAAAGCCCCCCCGGTCCTGTGGGGCTTCCGAAGGGAAATGGGGAGCCCTCCCCCGACAGTCGGCGTCGCAGATGGGAAAGGGATCGAGTAACGACGCGAAGGGTCCAACACTGAGGTGTTTCAGCACATTTTCTTTTTTCTTTTTTTTTTTTTAGAGCCTCGCTCCCAGTTAGCCCACTGGCGTCAGGTGGGGGCGATGCAGGTAACGTTCCTGGTGTTGTGCTCCTCTGAAATTACAGAAATTGGGTTTTATCCTTCGAGATGAAAACTGATTGCTACTGTGTTGCTAGCATTCACCCTGAGCATCGTGTTATTTACATTTTCCCAGAGAGCCCAGCTCTGCGAAACATGAAATTATGGGACAATCTCTGGTTTATTTTTTTATAAATGAGTTTCTCATGCTGTGGGTTGCAAAGAAAAACTGAACAAGGGACCCCTGAAGACTCGAAACCAGAAGGCAGATTAAAACAATTCCAAAGATATTGCAATTTAAAACCTCATTCATTTTATTTTAACCTCATTCATTTCAGTGCACGGAGCTGGGAATTACCAAAACTGGGTTAGGTTTCCAAAGGAATCATAGGCATGGCAGTGCCGAGACACGTTGGTTTCTCCTGAAGCGCACAATTGCTGGCTGCAGCCATGGGGAGCCTTTTGCCATGTGTGGGAGACCTGAAGGTCTCCAAATGGACCAAGGAAATCCCTTGGATGGTGGCAGAAGGTGCTGAGACCGAGGTGCTGCTACTGCTACATCCCTCGGGAAATCTGGGGTCTGTATCCCCTTAGGCACCAAGGGCTGTGCTTTCAAAAGCAAGGAAAAATGGAGCCAGGGTAGAGAAGGCGTTTTTTCTCTACGTGGTCTCAGGAGGGGGTTGAGTCGCATCTACTCCATTGGTTTGTTGATAGCAGTTTATTTACAGTGCATTAGCTCTATCAGTTCCTAAACAAAGGCAAGCCAAATGCGCTGTAGAAACAAGACCATCAGTGCGACATCAGGACATGATCTGTCACCAATCCATTTTGGTACAGTAAACATGTTCTGTATTTGCCTCCATCCAACTGCACTCCCTCACAATCACTTTATGGAGGCTAATTATTTTTATCTAGAGCTCCAGTCATACCTTTTGCTCTCAAACTTTATAGCTAACTAGCTCTGTTTAAAAAAAACAAACAAACAAAAAAAAAAAAAAACAACTGAGCCATAGGCTTTCGTCATCTATTTCATAAATGAAGTACGACCTCTAAGTAGTGTACATAGTTATAGGATGTACATTTTTATGTTACATTTGTATTTTAAAGAAGACTGTGACAAAGGACGGCAGCATCAGTTTTTTTCTGAGATACTGTTATTAGCAAGGATTACAAAATCACTGTTTCCTGTGTGCAGTCACTCTTAATAATTTGATGCTGAACTGCGGACATGTACGAGAGGAATCACTGGCTAAGGGAGTCAAGGCTCTTTCAAAGTATAGTTAGAATGAAGGGTCTGCTCTATTTCTTCAATCCAGTCCTAATAAAACAATGCTTCCTGACCACACCTAGCTTGCCAAAGCCTGCTAATAGCAACACCCCCTCCTTTCTGTAGTAGAATAGGCATCTTACTTTGTATACATGGTTTAGGCACACTGATGTCTTCCTCTTCATTTGTACCTTCTTTATACTGTTGTGTTTAAATATCTGTTTTTTGTAATACCTTGCTTTGCTGATCACAGGGGCTAGATTATTTGCAGCCTGATCAGCTCCAAAGAATTATTTGTTTGAAAGTTTTAAATTTTGACACAAATCAAAACATAGGGAAAGTATTTTGCCATTTTTTCTCCACTTTGCAGCTAGCTGAACTTCCATAGTTAAGTATCTTGACCTTTGTACAGCTGGTTGGGTGTGTGGATGATTTAGCTGAGTCTTCTAACCTTGTTTTCTGTTTCTAGTTTGGGATCTCTCAACTGAAAGGCACTACTTGCCTCATTTAGGCATTTCTTCTACAGTTTATAGTCTATAAAAAGGAAATATAAAGGGTCTCAAGCCTCTACGTGTTTGCTCTAGTAGTACCCCTCAGACTAAGTAACTCCTTACTTGCTCCTTCGTAATGGCAGAACCACAGCACTTAAGAGCTGATGAGGGTGTAATCCCCAGCAATCCTTTAACAGCACAAATGGAAAAGCTTCTAGTAAATGTTTCTGGTTTTTTTCAGAGCTTGCTCTCCTCCAGAGGTTTGGTTTTCTGGCTCCTCCTATGGATGGCAGACTGATGCTCCCTTTCAGTCTTTGGGAACAGCCCTGAGAAGAGCTACATTTTTGACTTGGAAGGGCTGTTATTTAAATGGCAAAATGTTCCACGTATAGTGCATGTTCCTAGTCTTCTTCCCACAGAATCAGCCAAAGAAGTGTCACTGGAAAAGCAGTATGCATTTCTCTTAAGTGTTTGCCTCAGAGTCTTGCTCTACAACATCAGTTCAAATCACAGTTTAATTACAGCAGTGCTCAATTTGCAAAAGCTTGGCCACTCTACTGTTTTGAGTAAAGAAATAAAATGGCACTTGCACATGTTCTGACCTAGATGAGAGAGTGCCTGCTTGTTGACAGCAGAGCCTATGAGCTGTGAACAAATAAAGCCTCAAGCAACAGGGAGTCTGCGGGTTGGACCTGCATGTCCATTCTGCTGACCAGCCATGAACTGCTGGAGAACTGAGGCACATGGCACAGCAATGAATGTAGAAAGTTTGATCCACATCTGTTTCCAGCCACAAGCTGGCTGGAGCAGCCTGGGTGTCAATGCTGACCTTAGGCACACAGCACGAAGGTGTGGTGGTGTGGCAAAGACAGAGCATCACTGCAGCTCCAAAAGTTCTGACTTGGTTCTCGCAAAGAAAATTTACATTTCATGCATCTCAAGCTCCTTACTGACTGCCCTATTTGCTTCAGGATCCAGTTTGAAACCATATTCCTTGTTTTTCAAACCACACCCTCACTCCTTGGACTTTTTTCCAGTTTGTCTCCCTGGAGACCGTGGAGCCCTCCCCTTTCCTTCCGTCTGTCTCTTCTCTCCTTCTAGCAGGCTCCTTGCTGCTGAGTTCAGAGCTGTCTCCTCTCATCTTCTCCTCCCCAGAACCGACTCCCTGTGTGTGTCCTGGAGTTATTCTCCATTTTAGTACAAAATTCCATTCCAGTAATGTCCTTTTCCCTTGAAATTCAATTCTTGCCCCATCTGTTGTTCTGATTGAATGCATTGAGCCTTGGATCATATCAAGCACTTTGTGGCTCTGGATGGGGTTCTTCTGTGGTTTTTGTAAGACATTGTGCAAATTCCTGACAGCAGGCTGGTAAAAATTGTGTGTGGAATGTTTTGGAAAAAGCAACTGGAAATGTAAAGATTCTGCAGCAGCATTGTTCAGTAGGTGAGTGCTTAATGTTTAAATTCCCTCTAGTTCATTCTCTGGTGGGGAAATGTCGCTGTACACACTTAGCATTTAAAGGAAATCCCCTTTTATGGTGGATTTAACTCCCGACATGCTCTCAATAAAGGTCACTTCATGAATTTATAGCTTGGTATGTGAAGCCCCATCCTGTGATCCCTGCTCATGGAAAGCTCAGCTGGAGATGATAAATTCTGATGGTATTTAATGTCAAAATGAACAGAAGTGTCTAGAGGCAGTAGCAGTGCAGGCTGGAGGTCTCCAGATCCCCCACAGAGCCGATGCCATGATGATACATAATTTACTTGTAACTTGTAAGCAATACAGCCGTCTTTCCTCCCAGAAGCTCTTCCATTTAAAGAAGCCGTGTCTGTCTTTGTGTAGTGCGCTGACATTCATGCTCTCTCTGCATTCTTACAGGAGTTTGGTTCTTCTTTGGACACCTGCATTCTCCAGAGTGTGCAGCCCAGATGCTGAATAACTTGCATGGCAATGGATAAGGCAGCTGAAAATGCAACTCCTTCAGCCTAACCTTGTAAAAACAGTTCTACTGGTCAGTGACGCAGAGCAGAATAAAGGGCATGGGAGTCAACGTCTGTCTTCAAAATCGTGACAGTTGGGTCAGGGCTGCCTGCTACGTCAACATTTTTAGAAGCTGAATTCCTTCAGAGTGTTTTCTCTGGCAATATATCCATTAAATGGATAGGGGGTGAGCATGTTCTTTGAAAATATAACTAATGAAATGCGGCAGCTAATATAGATCAAGTTTGCATCTATTGCTAATTTCACTAGTTCTGGAATGACAGAAACCTAGCTCTAATTATAAACAGACAAAATCTTAGCCTAAATTGGCTGAGTGGTTAAATACCATTCAGGGGAATAACCAGTAAGTGAGCGTGAATAGGCTATGAACATACGAGGATGGAAACAACCTGAAAGCGTCTTCTGGTTATTACCTCTGCCCTACAGCTGAGACTGAGTAAGTCAATATTTTCTAATCACAGATTGATAGGGTGATTTGGGAAACACTGAATATACTGGCTGTTAGGGCCTTTTAGCTCTTTCCTTTGAAACAGACCCTTGACAAGGAAACCCCAGTGTTCATTTTCTTAACATTCTTCTATTTTCCAGGAAACAGAATAAAGCCAAGAAAAGCAGAAACCCCATTACATTTTAGAGGACAGTAGTAAAACATGCAGATGGTAAACAGACTTCTAATTTTCTGTAGGGCCTTTACAATGTATTTTCTCTTCTATTAATCCTGGAAAGAAACACTTGCTAAATTCATCAGCTGCAAATTCCCCCCATCCCCAGAAGGAAACAAGACTTTTACGACTATGCTTTCATTATGTTTTCCTGTTTCTTTTTCCCCACCACAGTAAATTTTAAGACCACTGGCCAAATTCAGCCATGTGATAGAGAGGAATAGGCTCACAGACATTGTATTTCTGTGAGTTTCATGAAAATAGGCAGCAAGAATGTGGATAGAGACTTTTATTTAGACAGAATGGCTGAAGAGAGAGTTCAATCCTTACTGGAAAATCCATGAAACAACGAACCCAAATCTTGGAAAAAATAAAATCTTTGACAAAGGTTTGCATTTTCTTGCATTAGATTGGTTATTCATGAAATACTTCTGCTCACTTTACGCCCAAATTCCCGTTTTTGTAGGAATCCGCACCTTTGTCTGCATTAACCTTAAAGATAGATTGGTTCAGAAATGTGCTCCTGAAAACACCATTCTGAACTTTGTTCTCCCCTTCACAAATGGGTTCTCATTGTACTATGTAGTGCTAATCTATGTAACACAGAGGTTTATATATATATAAACCTCTTGTAACTTGTAAGCAATACAGCCTTCTTTCCTCCCAGAAGCTCTTCCATTTAAAGAAGCCGTGTCTGTCTTTGTGTAGTGCGCTGACATTCATGCTCATATATATTTTATATATTCATATATATTCATATATATTCATATATATTTTATATATATATATATTTTTTTCTTCTATTGTCTTGTAGGATTTCAGGAAGCTCAAGACAGAAGTCATCCTAATTTTCTTACTCCCAGCTTTCTCAGTCTTGAATTGTTTGTGGAACAGGTTTTATTGGAAGTTCATTACATTTTATAGTTCCTAGTGACGTATATAACCTAAGTAAAATAGACTGGCTTTTCTGGAACTTCAGTCTGAACTGAAATTTTTGAGACACAAACACAACGCAAAGGCATTTCCCAGGGAGGTTCAATGGCTGTACATTTGCTGCCTTTTAGATTTTTTCAGAAAATAACAAACAAGACTGCTAAGTTTGAATAAAATTTAGGTAAGTACAGATTTGTGTGGTTGAAGTCCTCATAATGAAAAGTCTGAACAAAAAATTTGCCTTTAAAAATACTCCTACCAGTGCTACCAGAAGCAATATAATAGCAGTTTTGCTACCTGTCACTAGAATAAATTTAGATGAGACAACGATTAAAGCAGCTGTGCCCCTTTATGCCAGTGCTTGCTGTGTAACTGATACTGCTCGTTTGGGGGATGTTAAACAAAGAGAAAAAAATGGTGCAGAGGCAGCCTTTACAAACACAAGAGGGAATTTGCAATCCGGTCTTTTTAGAAATGTGTATCTTTTAGAAAGATCTTCCTGAATTTAAGAAGTATTCAGTACTTCCTGCTTTTCTAAAGGCCTAAAAGGTGCCTGCAACATAAAAAAAGCAGTATCATTTTTTGGCAAACTATGCCATTCCGAATATACAAAGTGTCTTTAGCAAATGCAAAAATAAAGGGGGGAAGCATACAAAGTGCTAGTTAAAATATTTATTTAGCATATTGTGGTCGTACTTTGCAGATGTTTGGTCTTAATCATGGAATATTGTGATCTAATAGAGTATTGATTTCAAAAAGAACATGTAGAGGTCCAGTTATGCAGTGGCTTTTTGTTGCCTCCCTCTTTCTGCATCATGTAATACTGCATCCAGGAAGCAAAGAGATGATTTCTAGTCCCAGTGTCAGAGTTCTGTCTTCCTTCCTGGCTATCCATAAATCACTTGCTCAAACTCAACTAGAGCCTAGTGTAGGCGTATTTAAAATGCTGGATCAAGTACGGCTATGCTGCCAGAACACATCAGAAGTTGTCTGTGTGTTTCTATCCACTTACATTTTATGAGGACTGAAACATAACTGTTAAGAATAATAAGCAGCTCTTCTTTTGTTTCTTTGGATAGGCTGGAAGAGGAGAGCTAAGTAGTTGAAAGAACCACATTTCGCATTAAGAAACACCGCTTTTGTGAGTCCTCCCAAAGATCCTTAAATATCTGCATGTTTCTCTTCTAGCTGAGAATGTGACTGAGGCAGCACATGATGTGTTGCCTGATGCAAGAACTATGCTCAGTTAGTGCATATTGCCAAGTTCGTGTCTGCAGACGGGAGCTTGGTTTGCTGTGTCTGCGCTGTGACTGATCGTACTCATTCACAGAGCAGGAGAACAAATGGATGTATAGACATTTGCTAGCATACAGGAAACTCCATGTTGAGCTGTTTGATCAATGATACCAAACCAGGCCGTGGGATTAAAATACAGCTTGAATCCATCCTCATTTGTAATACAAAGTTAAACATTTTTGAATGGTCCGTCCCCTCTCAGTCTAACCACTCTTGTCAAAAATGATGCAGTTGTGTTCGCTGGTGATACCAAGATTCTGGTAAGCTTTTGGCATGGCCCTGCTGTGCTCAGGCAGGGCTTTCTGATTCTGTTTGATCAGTATGTCACCTCCTCAGCTGTTGGGTTACAAAGCAATGAGCTAGCATTTATTACACTGCTTATCTCAGATATCACTTCCTCTCTATTCATTTCCATTCATAGTTACATATGACATGTAGTATTATTTTCAGCTATATTTGGCTTGCACTTTATCCAACCTTCCAGCTCCTTTCTCTTATGTAAATACAACAGCAGGGAAAAGAAGCCTTTTGTCCCCTTGTGCCAGGAGGATATGCTGAACATCAACATGGACATGTTCCTGAAGACCAAGCTGTTTTCTGGAAGTCTGCTCGCAGATTTCATAATCCATCTGTTTTCTGTAGAATGCAGTTATTTAAAGCCACGAAGTTCACTTCAGAGACTTTGTACAGTAGCTGTTGTTTATGTTGGTATTTCTGATGAGGCTCAATATTGTCTATTTTCCATTATATCTCAACACTGCCTTTAATTGCCTTTTTCCACCAGATTTACATATTATCCCTCCCGGCTGTTCACACACAGACTTCCTTTTTACTTGGCAACCTTCCAGTCACTCCGTACTACAACAGAGGTACTAAAATGGCAGAGCAGTTGACGAGAGTCAAAACTAAATTATATATTTATACTACGTGGCCTATGAATAATTGAACAATTAAATAACAGAACATCTGAGACCGTCATCAGAAGTTCTCTTCCTTTTCCTGAAAGACAGTTCAAGTAGTTTTGGGTGGGTATATAACAAGGTGGTAGAGGCTTAAGAAATCTCTCCAAATGTTATCAATTCCATTATTTACCACTATTCTGAGGAAGGATAAACTGGAATTAATGGTTCTCTCAAACACCAAATTAAAATTGTTCTTACAGGACTTGGCTTTGAAATCCTGATGCTTGAGAGAGCAAAGACACTCCCTGTGGATTCACGCAGATCATGAACACCATCAGACTGACTCAGCAAGTATGTCTATATACGCCTACCATAGAGGTGTAAGGAAGTTTAGTGGTTTTAACGTGACTCTCAACATGCTTAAGAAATATGCACAAATTTAAGCACACACTTTTTAATTTAGGACATAGCTTCTTGCCTTCTAATGCACCCAGGCCCCACTGCTCTGTTATTGCCACTGGCTTCTGGCATCTAATGATACAAGGAAACCAGTAATGTCCTGCTGTACCCCATAGTGAATAGCTGCTTTGGTTGTGCTGTTCATCTTACCTCTCTTGGGCACTGTTGAAATCCTCAGGCTTCTGGCAGGTTGCTGCTGTAAACCCAGCATAGCACATGTTACATTGAGAGAGGAATAAGGCCTCAATACTGTGTTTCAAACACCCGATAGTAAAGCAATTAAAAAAAAAAAAAAAAAGTCTTTAGCTTGTGGAGATTGCAGGAATGAAAACAGCTCCAGAAATTTGAAGCTGGAAATGTTAGAGCAGTCAGGTGCATCAGATGCCTAAGAACAAGCTTCTTCTCCACCACTTTCAGCTGCAAGGATGACAATCTGACCATGCACTTTCATGCACTGAGCTGGACAAGGAGTAGAAACAGCTCAACAATGAGCTATTCAAAAGGGTCAAGAGCAGGGATGTAGTCCATAACAAATAAACACCTGGAGATGGAAAAAAAAAAATCAGGCTCTATTTTCCCTTCCACATGTTTTGGGATCATCGTGCCAGGAAATTATTAAATCATACAAATTTTGGTAATGAATGCATTGCTTGGATGACGCATGAAGTTGCTGATGGTTATGGCTATGGAAAAATAACACACTTTTCAGTGTCAGTAGTGATGTAAAATCAGACAGAGGAGTTGGGCTACAACTTACATGAATTTCTGAAAATAGTACTGATACAGGAGGAGACTTCCCTAAGTGATGCAAGTAAGCATTAAGAGGAAGTACATACATACAAAGCAAAGTTGCATCTGCTGCGATTCAGCACAACTGTTTCCCTTGATGTTTTTCCTTGATTGGGAAGACACTGCCACCTAATTAAGAGAGGGAGGAAGCACCACTACTAAAGCACTGTATGTATCTAGAAAGCCATTTTTAAATATCGAGAACAAGGCTACTTTGGCTGTGCCATAAATGCCAGTTTGTAGCATGTTTGATTATTTGATTTGTTCTGTGCTTTATTAAGGGTTGATGCACTGGTAACAGGACTCTGGCAGTTTTCCCACCTGTACTTTGCTTACTGTTGCAGTCCAGTTTTGGTGCATCAGTTCTTGCTAAATGCGTACCAACAAAAACTAACACATCACTGAATTAGTGCAACTGTGTCCCTTAGAGAACATCCTTCTCTCCATCTCGTACCACAGTATTTTCCAATTAACATCTTCTCTGTATCTCTGTGAGTCACAACTGAACACAGAGCCTGTGGACCGGAGGTGGGAGGCCACAGCCGGCAGCCTGGCCAGAGCAGAGCAGAGCAGGCTGCAGCATCATTACTGTGCCTCTGCTGCCATTTGGAGCACATCGGGTGAGGCAGGGATAATGCCAAAGGCGAGGATTGAGGATCAGCGCCCACAAATACTGCTAGCTCCTATCTGTACTGTATTACTTCATGCCACTTTAGGAATAAAAATAAAAGCCAGAAATGTCAACAGCCTGTAACACAGTAAATGTACAATGAAGCAGATGAAATGACTCACAGGTCTCCCCTGCAGTGTTGAGTGAGCAGCTCAAGTATTTTCAGGGCAGAAGGCTGCAGAACTTTGAATCTGGGATTGTCTCACAGTCTCCATCAAATTCCCACCTTTAAGAATTCCTGGCTTTCCACAAGAGTCAGATTACTACTGACAAGTCCTTGGACATTCAGTCCAGGTCATTCTGTATACATTGTTCCAGGGTGATGCTGTCCCTCCCTTGCAAAGCTCTTTCCATGGGCAGGTGGATGCACTCAGGTTTTAACTTTTTTTTTTTTTTTTTTTTTTTTTGTGTAGCCTCAGTATTTATATGTGCTGGATTTCCTGGCTGCCTTTCTGCCTAGTCATCACTTGAAAAGGGAAGGAACATCCTGTCATCATCCAAGTGGACCAGTAGGCAGAGACATAAATAGATTGGCCAATCCACACATAAGGCAACAGTGAAAATAAGCCAGTAAAGACCGACTTTATGAGTGTTAGTATGCAGTAACTTTGTAGTCATTACTGTGGATCCTACTGGAAGCCAAGAACAGACTGACTGCATTACCACCCTTCTCAGTTACCTCTCACAAGGGAATTCCTGCAGGAATTTGTCTTCAAAGGCACTCAAACGTACTACCCAGTAAACCCCACTGAGCAGATGAATATTAGATGCAAACAAACACTGGTATTACACAGAAATTCCAAGAGAAATCTAGGGCTCAAATCCTAGGACAAGAAGGTCAAATTTTAGTACCCGCATAATTGAGCTCGATGTAATATTAGACTGGCAGAATTGGTATACCAATGAGACTGTACTGAATACAAGCACCTTCAGTTAGCTCTTTCATCCCCGTAAGATGGATGGTGGATAGAATCTAAAGAATTAAAGAACAAGGAAGAAGTTGGAAAAGACATAGGAAACAATCAGCTAGAAGAAGCAAAATGTTACGTTAATAACTTGATTGAATGCAGGGAGAGGTTAAAAAATGGAGTAAATAGCTTACATTTTATCAATTTTACAAAATATGTAATGTCAGTAAGAAATGTTGTTGAATAAAGCCAGAGGAAGACAAATTCTGATTTTTCCTCACAAGTCTTAACATACCTTTTCTTAGATTATAAATTTAGGGGCAGGGTTTCCCACTTTCTAGGGCAGATGTGCACCTGGTTAATTAACAAACGCATTCCAAACTGTATCATTATCTTTCTGTGTTGAAGGGTTAATGAATACAGCATGGCCTCAGTGGCACTCTTCATCCTCTTGCTCCCCTAGGCTGCCTTGGAAGGTTGTGAGACACACTGAGGCCAGGCAAAGGTTTCTTCTAAGCAATACAAAATGTAGCAGTTTCTCGGAGTACTGATCTACAGGCAGAGCTTGTCTTTGGCAAATGACTGCTATCCGTTAACAGAAAGAACAGATTTATTAATATAGAGGAAAATGAAGAATCAACTAGAATACAGATGCCAAGGAAGACAGTTATTTTCCCAAAAACATTCACAGAGAGAGCTGGAATGCCATTTTCTAGAAGGTTCTGCCTCGCTAACAACAAAGTCACAATCCATCTAGACTTTTTATAGCAGAGGCAGGGCTCCAGGGTCACTTTATTTAGAAAACCCTGCCTGGCCCCCCTCCAGGGGTCTTCCCAATTTGGCCAACTGTTTATTGTGGGGGTACCTCCCTGCTTTCTTCCAAGTAAGCCTTATCAGCCCATCAGTTCTGGATCCACGGATCCCTGGATCTCAAATATACATATTTATTTGGAAGCAATGTACAATATATGATGTACAAAACCAAAATGCAAATTGTAGGACTCCCTCCTTTAAAATCAAACCAAACCAAGCTGCTTTTCAGATGCAGGGGAAAAAGAGACATGCTGAAGCACAGCACCTGCTCTTCCCATTTTTTCATACTTGTATGAGCATCTTTTTTACCACCCCATTTCCCAGAAAGGCAGGGACTGCATTGTAAGAAAGGAAGTCCTTGAGGAAGCACAAAAGGATTGAAATGCCAGACTAGCCATAAACTAATCAGTATGAAATACTCTTCTCTTCTGACTGTCTGATTCTCCATGCAAGTAGAGCAAGCTAAGAATATTTCTAGCAGAGACTCAGAATTCACTGCACCACTCCATTGTCTACAATCTTCCACTGTACTCTTGGCATTGTTTTGATTTTTCTATATGCAACAATAAGGTGCAGAGATGGAAGAGCTCTCAGATCCCGTCTGTTGGAGAACTCTCAGCACAAGGGCAGGAAAACAGTTCTTTGAATCTTAAAAACCGGTCACTCTCTCTAGCATTCAGACTTTCCCTTTTCAGAGCTTCTATAGTAGCACTTCTGTGGCTTTATGGTATCAAAGAAAATTACATCTCTGTTATGAAGAAGAAAAAGGAAATTCAGAAGCCAAGTTCCTCTTCTCACATACAGATAAGAACCTAGCTAAAGGTCAAGACATTCTGAGGACTTAATCAGCAAATTTGGGACCACGCAGGAATATTACATACCTGTTGCTTTTAAATTTTCAAGATTGTACAATTGTTTTAGCCTTATTCCTATCTTGCCTGCCTTCTTCATGTATATATATCCAGTTTATGATACTCCAGATGAAAACAAGCACTATGGCAAGATCACTTTTCAAGCAACATCTCGGATTATTTTGTCTGCACAAGTTAAGGTTTTGCATAAATGAATGCTTGTTTGCATTCCACTTTCAGGATCTAAGAAAACGTACTCAAGAGCCACCCAGTAGGGTAATACCCTTCTTTTATTCCAAGAAAACAAAACCCACCAGCTGCAAACTAATTTCCATTTTGACACAAAATTAACAGAATATGCCCAGCACATTAACAGATCTTATTATGGGACAGAAGTATCAATGAAATTGTAATGAAAGAATTATGGAAAATAAATGCAAAAACTCTCCATTAACAATAAGCACCTTTATTGACCATCTTACCATTCAACACTTATTTAATTCAGTTTCCTAAACTGATGAAGTACAGTCCAGTTTAGCATTTAAATAAAAGAAAAAGCAAGTGTTATACCTGGGTGGTATAGAACTAAAGTACTGTTAAAATAAAAAAAAAGCTGTAGACACAATTAATACTACCTGTGATTCAAGAAATTAATACCCAGATTTCAGAGTCAAACTTAATACGTCTCCTCCACATGACATTATGCCTCAAAAAATGCCTGTGAAAGTCTGTCTGTTTAGAAGGCAGAGTGGTTAGTAGGTATTTTCTATTTCACCATTTAACAAGTGACATCACAAAAAATACTAGGCAGCCAAATATTTCAGGTAAGTTTAACAAATTAAAAAACAAAACAGAACGACAGCTGTAAAACCTTCTTCAGGGAAAGGCCAGCTGATTTCAGACAGCATTTGTATATAAACCAAATAAAGGCAGTAGTTTTCATTAGAAATTTTAGATTGAAGTCTTGCTATGTCCTCATAGGACATAATATAGTGTCCCAGTGATTTCAGTAAGACAAAAGAGTTCAGCACAGCAACAAATCTTTGCAGTACAGACGAAAATCCAGACACATATCATTTGTTACAGTATTTAATTCAACACTCAAGCAATTTAAAATCATATGCACTGAGGAAACTAGTAACCAAGTATCTGGTTATTCCCACTTCCTTTCCTTCCTGTTTTTAAAACGTATCTTACTATGTTTCCAGTATTTAACACTTTTTCAAAATTTATTAGCAAATTTTTAGAAG